AAAAAAAAAAAAAGAAGGAAGGAAAAAATAAGCAAAGCCTAAAGGTTTCTTCTTTCCCACACAGCATTTGTCAGTCACAGAATTCTGAAGAGCAGTATTTAATTCCTTTTCTTCCACCTTCATATTCTAACTCCTTCCAGTTTTGCCTCTTTAGGAACTGTGCCTAAGAAAAGGACTAATGGCTTGATTACTCTCTAATGATATTTCTTACTCCGTGCCAAAAATGAGCATTGAAATCGCCACCCAGATTCATAGAAAGGGGCTTTTCTTCTCCGTGGAGGTAGCTAATCTTCCCAGTCCCGTGGTACTTAATGAGCATATAACATTTTTTTGAGTGAATTACCTTCTTTTACTCAATCATTCCCCTATTATTGGACATTGGGTAGTGTTCAGTTTTCACTCTTAAAAATAACACTGTGAGGAACACATTTGAGTATAAATCATTTCCATTTTTAGCTTATTCCCAGAAATAGGCAATAAGGAGCACAAGATGTCTTGGGATACTGAATTTCAGTACAAATTGTCTGGGACACACACACACACACACACCAAACAAAGCAAAATAAAAAGATGCAAGCAAGACTTCCTGCTGAGTGGGAGGGGAAAAAAAGTAAAGGAAGTAGGTGGAGTGTCCAATGTCTGAAAGAACATAATACTATGCAAGAAGTAACCAGCAAGTTGCCTGCTCTGCTCTGCTGGTCTGCTGTTAGCTCTACAAATGAAAGAACATGGATATCTGGGAGCTGGTGGCTCATGCCTATAATCCTAGCAACTCAGGAAGCTAAGATCTGAGGATTAGGGTTCAAAGCCAGCCTCACAGGAGAGTCTGTGAGACTCTTATTTCCAATTAGCTTCCAAAAAAGCCACACATAGAAGGTCTGGGAAGGTGGCTCAGTGGTAGAGTGCTTGCCTTGTATGTATGAGGCCCTGGGTTTGATTCCTTAGCACCATATAAGCAGAAAAGGCCAGACATGGCGCTGTGGCTCAAGTGGTAGAGTGCTAGCCTTGAACTGAAGAACTGAGGGACAGTGTCCAGGCCCAGAGCTCAGGCCCCACAACCGACCAAGAAAAAAGCCAGCTGTAGAGCTGTGGCTCAAGTGGTAGAGCACCACACGAGCAAAAAAGCTAAGGAAGAACACCTAGGCCCTGAGTTCAAGCTCCAATATTGGCACCAAAAGGGAGAAGAATAAGCAAGAATTCAGATAGACTCTAATGTGTGCTTTCCTTCTTCAAATGGTTGATTTCCTTTAAGGAAGAACTCCAATTGGACATGGCTACTCAGATCATTTTCACCTCAGCCTTGAAGTACAAGTTTTGCATAGTGTGCATATGCAGAGTTTTTGTTTTGTTTTGTTTGAGACAAGGTCTTGCTATGCAGCTCAGGTCGGACTAAAAATCCCTGTGAAGCCAAAGGTGGCCTCAAACTTGAGATGCTCCTGCCTTTGCCTCCTGAGTGCTGGAATGGCAGATGCGTACCACTACACTTGGTCTTTGTGTGTGTGTGTGTGTGTGTGTTGTGTGTGTGTGTGTGTTGTGTGTGTGTGTGTGTGTGTGTGTGTGTGGCCCACCTTCTTGCTGACTTCCCTGCCTCCAGCTTTGCTTTGGTTGAATCTGTTGGCTATATTGTGCTCAGATGAATTTTCTTCAGTCTATTTCAATATTTAATTTCTCTGAATCAAATGTATCTTTTTATTTATGAGGTTATACTTTTTGAGGGGAGGGAGGGGCAGAAAGTAGAGAAAGTTGGACTATATCTTTGTAGAAAAAACTTCCAAAGCAGATCCTGAGGAAAGGGTTAGGGAGCACATGATTTTGTGTGGAAAGAGATCCAGGGAGCACTGTGTGAGAGTGAGGAGGAGGAAAGAGAAGGAGACGGCCAACCAGGGGTGAGTTCAGGAGTGAGCAACTTCCATTCAGAGTGACTAAAGCATAAGCCCATGGTGTGCACCTGAGAATCTGTATAAAAGACACTTCAATGTTGTTCCACTGGGGAGAACAGTCATCCTGGGCCTTCTGACCTGTCTCATCTGTAGGCAGAAAATGTGGAGTCAGGTAAGTGTGGAGACCAACTGCGGAAGACTATGGGGGGGAGGGGGGAGGAGTTAACAGCTTCTCTGCAGTTGGATCTCTCCCCTCCCACTCCCTCCCTTCCTCTTTTTCTCTTTCTCTCCCCCCATCCCCATCTCCATCTCTCTGATGCTGGACAATGGGCCAAGGGTTTCTTCTCGCTTGCTAAGCACATGCAGCTTCACTAAACTACATTCTGTATACATGTGAATTAAAAATTAAAATCTTACCAATCAGATTGATCTTTAGAAAAGATTGATCAGGGCTGGGAATGTGGCTTAGTGGTAGAGTGCTTGCCTTGCATGCATGAAGCCCTGGGTTCGATTCCTCAGTACTACATAAACAGAAAAAGCCAGAAGTGGCACTGTGGCTCAAGTGATAGAGTGCTAGCCTTGAGCACAAGCAGCTCAGGGACAGTGCCCAGGCCCTGAGTTCAAGCCCCAGGACTGGCAAAAAAAAAAAAAAGCTGTCCAAGTGAGTCTGTAGTTAGAAGGATTTTAAATAGAGATTGTCAAAGGAAAAGGAAATCACTAAAAGAAATTTAAAAAGCAAGAACTAACTATGCCTACAGATTTTTTTCCATTCAATCTTTTAGACACCTTTCCACATAGATAAAGTTATTTTTATAGATATTCTATACCAGCTGAGTGTCTGTGGCTCATGCTTATAATCCTAGCTACTCAAGAAGCTGAGATCTGAGGATTACAGTTTGAAGCCAGTCTGAGCAAATAAATCCGAAAGACTCTGTTATCTCCCATTTAACCAGCAAAAAGCCAGAAGTGAGGTAAGAAAAAGAAAGCCAGAAATGGAGTTATGGCTCAGGCTTGAGAGAAAAAGCTAAGTGAGAGTACAAGGCCATAAGTTCAAGTCCCAGGATCAGTATACACACAAAAAAGATATTCTATGTCAAAATGACTATTCCAGTCGGAAGCTGTGTCCCTAGGAGACATTATTTCCAATTGTGGTTGATATAAGTAAATATATGCCCATTTCCTAAATATGCCCATTTCCCCCCCCCCTTATTTCTCTCTTGCTCAAAACCGCCCATGGCTCTTCATCATCCACCTGGTGATACCTATGGTCCATATTGGCATTCTAGTCTGACCTGGGTTGGCTCTGCCACCATTGTGGAGAAGACAGGTATATCTACCAGGTCATCAAAGGCCTTGTTCACTCCTGCACCTGTGCCTCTGCCTAGATGTAAACAGCCCGGACTGTCTCCACTCCTGTGCTGCTTCGTGCTGTTCAAGGACCACCTTTCTTGTATCTTTACATGCTTCCCCATGACAGAGATATTCTTCCTTCCTTCTTTCCCTCCCTCCCTCCCCCTTTTGGTTGAATTTGTTGGCTGTATTATGCCCAGATGAATTTTCTTCAGTGTCTATTTCAGTATTTCATTTCTCTGAACCAAATGTATCTTTATTCATTCATTCATATCCTTATTTCTTCCTTCCTCCCTCCCTTCCTTCTTCCTTGCTTTCCTTTTTATTCCTTCCTTCTTTCCTTCCACTATGCTCCCTTGAGCTACACCTCCAGCCCCATTATCCCTCCCTGTATGTCTCACTTACTGGAGACTGCATGCTCTGTACTTCTCTCTGTGTTTTCACAACGTCTCAGTGCTGGAATCCAGAAGGATGCTGTCCAGTATTCCCATGGACCTTCGCATGCACAGGGCCTTTCCTGCTCAAGATTTGTCTATGGCAATCTCCATGACTGGTTTTTCTCTCTCTCTCTGGCATGAGAGGGGGAGGGAGTGTGTTCCACTCAGTCAGGGCCTGTGACCATAGAACCCATATCTTAGCTTGTGTATGACTGTTGAAGTGATTTGGCTAAAGCATTGCTCACAGCTTTCTCTCCTGGAGGCAGAACTAGAGAGCGAAGGGGGGAGATGGCAATGGTCCTTCTGGATCTGGATTCCAACTGTGCTGAAAAGAAGTTAAGTGAAAGGTAGGAGCCAGGCGACTGACTCCCTGGGTGCTAATCCCAGCTTCCTGTCAGGATTTTCCTTGACTGCTGCTCTCAGCCGATGGTCACAGCTGCGGAAATAGATCTCCCCTCTCACCTGTTCTTTAGCAAAGGAGACCTTGCTAACTTCCTGTCAGAAGAATGCATGCCTCAGTAACCTAGGGGAGATCTGGGGACACTAATGATCAGCTGCCTTGGTGGGGGTGGGGTCTCAAGGCTCACTTTGGCCAGGAAGCAGGGAATAAACAGCCACAGGGAGGTAGATACCGTTTGGGGCCAAAGTCCCTCCCTTTCCTGTGAATTTGGCCAGTGTTTGTTTTCTGGTCTTGCCCAGAAACCACTCTGTCCTCAGGATGCCTCTCTCCTGAATGACAGAGTGACAGGGAGCAGATGCTGGGCCTTCCTCAGTCACCTGCCCAGCACCCCGAACCTGCTCCTATAAACATTCTGTGTTTCTACTGAACTCAACCGCTGATTTTGGGCTCTGGGACCTGGAAATGAAGCCTACTGGCCTACTCACTCACTCGTTTACTCAAGGAAAAGTTCCCACAGGTGCAGTACTGGGAGTGTGCAAGGGTGCCAGGTACAGGGAGGAATACAGTAAAGCCAGAAGCCTAGAGAGCCCCAGTTCAGGGGAGGTGCTTGGAAGAGGAGCTGGGGGAGGGGGTGGAGTCAGATCTTGGGCTCCAGTGGGAATTTGGGTTGTGGCCCAGGCACCTGGACAGGCCCAGGCATGCTGGGAGGAGCTCTTTCACTTGTGTTACCTGGGTAACCAGGACTCACAGGACTCACCATGGCGTCTGGGGACAGCAGAAACTGGGGTAGCACCCCGCCACAGAGTGCAGCCCCGACGGTAAGTGCACTGAGCCAGGAAGCAGAGGCTGCCTTTACTGGGGTATCTTGGAGCGGAGGGGCTGGATTCTGAAGAGCATGTAGGAAGAGGATGAGAAAAGAGATTCCCTCAATCCCCAAGAAGCTGGAACAGGGAAAGAGGAGGCCCTGGGGAAGGAGAGGCGCCGGAAGGGTGTGTTGGGGCTTGCACGATATACTCCAGGCTTTTCCCATGTGGCGGGCTAAGTTTCTTGGCTCATGACCCCCAGCCCTGGGTGACCATCCTGCAGCCCCTCCCGTGGGTTCCACCCATGCCCCCGCAGCCCAGCCGTGTGAAGGAAGGTGAGATTTGGGGGGTCACCCTTCCTTTCCCTCTCTGCCCTGTGCACTGTCTCATATATTCCTCCCCCCACTTTTGGGGCCTGCATGGGAGCTCTGCATGGGAGTGACTGGGGGGCAGGCAGTTGTGGCTGGCTGGAGAAACACAGGGGGACATGCTGAACCCCGGACATGCTTGCTGAACCCCGGGTCTGTAGACCTGCTGGAGCTGATGATGCTGCAGAACGCACAAATGCACCAGCTGCTGCTGAGTCGCCTGGTAGCGGAGGCACTGAGCCCAAAGCCAGACTTGCCTGGCCCACAGGTGCGTAGGGGTATGGGCCCCGAGTGGAGATCTTACTAGGGTCCCCTACTAGTAGAAAAGTTTTGGGCATCGAGGAACAGGAAGCCAGTATCTACCTCTCTGGGTAAATCCCTTTGCTATGGCCTTCAGGAAGGGAGGGGTCTTCAACCCCCAAAGTTCCCTTCAAGATTTTTGGACTTCAGACTCCAGGAGAGCAGCTACCATTGGACCTTAGGCACCAGAGGCTTCAATGATACTTGTTGAGCAAGTGAATGAATACATGAATAAGTAAGACAGGCACAAGGGAGGACACAGCGTTCATGCCCACAGGGGGGATGGGGAAGGGTCCTTGGAAGAGAGCTCCTGGTGGCCTTCCAAGCAGCCCTGGCGAACTAGGTGGAATTTTAATCCTGGGTTGAGGTTTTAAAGGATGCTCCCAACAGACAGTGGTAACAGTCAGGAGTGGGAATAGAGGAAAGCACTAGAAGCGGCCACAGGAAGGCCCAGCCTCTTCTGCCAGCAATGGGTGTCCTGAGAGGTTGGGAAGAGTGAGGGCTGGATGGAGAAGGAAGGTTCAAGGGGTCAGCGGAAGACCAAACAGAAGGAGACCCTGAGGAACTGCTGTGGCTCCTCCTCCCAGGTCCCAGGAGACCCCGGGGTGAGGACCCCCATCACTGAAGGGCAGGGGCATCTCAGTAGATTCCCTATCCCAGCTCTTGGGTCACACTTGCTCTACCACTTATTTATTTATGACAGCCCTGGGGTTTGAACTCAAGGCCTTGGCACTTGCTTGGCAGGTGCTCTACCATCCACCATACCCCCCAAGCCTAGGCTCTGCTGCTTATTAGCTGCAAGATCTTAAGCAAGTTGTTCAACTTCTTGCAGCCTCAGTTTTCCCACCTACAAAGTAAAGAATAAGCATCTCCAAAGTGCCTTGCTCATGTATAGTGAATGCACATTTGCTTGTGTATAGTGATAACACATATCTGAGCTGGGAGATGGAGGAATGGAGCAGGGAGAGGCTGATCAGAGTCATCATCTTCCTCTCACCCTTTGCTCATGCTCAGGTCTACCAGGGGGGACAATGCGAAGAATGGGAGGAGCAGATGGACACCCAAGAGGAAGGGCCTTTGGTGTTCCACCACCACTACCTGCCTTGGCTCATGTCTCCCCTGAGCCCCCCATCACCCTGGCCAGCCCCTCCCCTGTCCCCTCCTCCAAGCCGTCCTCACAGGCAGGATGCAGCTAGGATTCAGCATCTGCCTCCTGGCTCTGGGCAAAGAAGGATGTAAGTAAGGCTGGGAGGGATCTGGGCACTGCCTGCTTCTTCCCGCTCTAGGGCCAAGGCTGGGCTAAAAGAACTGGCAGGGGCTTGTGGGTAAAACCCTTGAGGGCCTCTAAAGGGGTCTTTCTTCTCCTTCTCCCACCTCAGGAGAGATGTACCCCCACCTCCTCCTCCCAGTGCCACAGAGACTGTGGGTGCAGATGTACCCCCAGCTTCAGGTAGAGTGCCTGGTGGGAAGGCAGTGGAGCCAGATCTGGGAGGAGAGCAGGAGGGCCATGGGCCCTGAGGGGAGGTGGGAAGGGAATGCGTTCTGTTGCTGCTGTGGGCACTGTCCTGTACCCTTCAGCAGGGGCCGTGGAAGTTCAGGGTGGCTCCTGAGGCAGGAGGGAGGGTAGATGAGATGCTGTCTCCTTAGACTACTATGACGCCGAGAGCCTGCCATGAAGAGGATGCTCCCCAGGTCCTTATCGGCTTCAATAATCCTGGAGTCCTCCACAGCTCTCTCTGTCTGCTAACTCTGTACCTACACCTCAGTCCTTCTTCCCTGCTGAGCCCTCTCCCAGTGGATCAGGCCCCTTCCATCCCACTGCCATCTTGACCCAGTGTCTGCTCCTGCAAGCCCTGTCTAGGGCCAAGAAGCTGTGTGAGACCCATGTGGTCCCACTGTTGTCTGCCTGGACCAGAGCCCCGGCCTATTTCTGCCCTCCACTTCTGTCTCTGAGACAATAAAGACTGTAGAGTCACCTTTTGGCTTAATAATGGAGTATGAAATGAAGGGACTCCTCCTTTCTCCCAGGAGATTAAGGCTTCTTTAATGGCTGGCTAAACAGAGTCCTTCTGGACCCTTGAGCTGGGCCTAGAGTGATGCCTTCACCCCAGAGAGCCAACCACTAGCAGAAAGGGAGTCAGGGCTGTGTACCGCTCCTAGGAATGGCTTGAGGTCCCTGAGTGCCCTCTGGACCAAAGCCCACTGGGGATGGTCCCCCCATTGTAGGAATCAGTCACTCCTAGTGAAGTGGTCCTCCGGGGCCTGGACTGGTCAGTGAGGGGCTGCTCAGGGCAGACTTGGGCTCTGGAAACCATTGTGAAGGAGCAGGAAGGAGACTGAGGGAGATACTGAGGGAGAGAAGGCCACATCTGGTGCCTTCTACATGCAGGAACAGACATGGAGAACACAGGGTTATGTCCATGGGTCTGTATTTAGGCTAGAAAAGAGTGTCCCCAAAGTCATGTGCCGCTGTCACAGTCCTTCAACCAGGGCTGAAGTCATGTTGAGTTCCAGTATTACCGTGCTGGTGGCTAGGCAGGTCATACAGGGTGTGCCCGGAAGGCCCGGGGCAGCCGCCTCCAGGCAGCTAGCACCCCATAGGTACCTGTCCGCTGCTGATGCAAATGCTGGCCCAAAACAAAGCACAGCAGGACAGATGTCACAAACAAGAACAACAGAACTGACACGACGGTGATGATGATGACCATCTGGTTGTCCTGCACAGGCCCTGGGAAAGAACACAAGTCATCAGGTGCCAAGATCCTGGGTGTCTACCTGTCCCCCCCCATCATCCTGGCATTGTAGAAGACCGCCTCGCTAGAAGAAAAATGACCCCACCAACCAGACCTGGCAGATGTCCCTCTGCCAGCATCCCCAAAGACTAGCATATAGTGGCTGGCCACCATGGAATGGATTTGGCACAATCCAGGTGAAGCCCATCCTCAGGCAGATCCCAGTGAGCTTCAGGGAAACTCCCAGCTGACACAGAACATTTTGGTCCACACAGTCATGAACAGCAGAGCCCTGGGGATGTCAGAGAGCAGGCAGTCCAACCTTATTAAGAGAGGCACCAAGGCCAAAAACAGCAGGCGGCCTTGATCAACACCATGTGGCTCAAGAATGTTGAGAACTTAGCCAGGTGCTAGTGGCTCACGCCTGTAATCCTAGCTACTCAGGAGTCTGAGATCTGAGGATCACAGTTCAAAGCCAGCCTGGGAAGGAAAGTCCGTGAGACTCTCACCTCCAATAAACCACCAGAAAACCTTAAGTGGCACTGTGGCTCCAAGTGGTACAGCGCTAGCTCTGAGCTGAAGAGCTCAGGGACAGTGCCCAGGCCCAGAGTTCAAGCCCCACAACTGAAAAAAAAAAAAAAAAGAATGTCGAGAACTAGTGGAGTTCTTTTGACTTCTAGAACAATGGGTCCTAAAGAACTGAAGATGAAGGGGAATAAGGTCTCAAGATTGAGTGTATACTCCCTGTCCATCTGAAAATGAGAATTTGGATTTGTCTGCCTCCCGAGGGTGGCCATGGTGGCTCTTACCATAGACCTCAAGGGTCTGTGGCTCCGAGATGCTCTGGAAGAGGCTCCCACCAAGAGACCGCAGATCCAGCTCAGCCTGGCAGGAGAAGTTCAGGAGGCCATACTCTCTCTGAGCTGTGCTCTTGAAGGTGGTGGTGGCCTCTTGGGAGGCAGGCACTGCACCACTGAAGGTCTGGTTCTGAAGGATATTCTTGCCATGGAACAGGGTGAGGGTGAGGCTCTGGAGGGGCTTCACCTCTGGCACCGTGCACTCGATGGTGAAGTTTTTGCCCACCCCTACCCTCGAGGGCTTCAGCTTCAGCATGACCTGTGTGGGACGCTCTGCAAGAGACAAAGGAGAGAGGTGTGGTCTGGCCAGGGCCATCTCTTAATATTTCAAGTCCCTAGATAGACTTAAGGGTGAGGGACCTAATCTGCTGTCGTGTAGAGAGAAGTAGGAAGGATTTCAGTATGCAGTACCACACAGTGTACTATGTGGTAGTGTTTTGTTGTTGTTGGTGGTGGTGGTGGTTGTTGGTTGCAGAGCTTGAACTCTGGGCCTGAGCACTGTCCTTCAGCTCTTCAATTCAAGGCTAGTGCTCTACCACTTGAGCCACAGTGCACTTCCAGTTTTCTGGTGGACTTTCCTGCCCAGGCTGGCTTTGAACCTCGATCCTCAGATCTCAGCCTCCTGAGTAGCTAGGATTACAGGCAGGAGCCACTGGTGCCCAGCTTTATGGTAGTTTTATGGATGAAATTTGGAGATTAGACAAGAAGGAGGTAATTAAGAGTTGACAAAGAGGAAGTTCAGAAATTGTACAGCCAGTTGGAAAGATATAAAAGTTTGAATCTGTCTCCTTCCTCTCTGGATATTAAATACAGATATCAAACATTAAAGCTATTATTATTATGTTGAGAGAGACTTGGAAGGGAGAGCTCATTGAAATGGGATCCTTAAGGAATTGATTGTGAAATTTCTTACTTAGAAGGTAGGGAGCCGTGCACTGGTGGCTCATGCCTATAATCTTAGCTACACAGGAGATCTGAGCATCACGGTTCAAAGCCACCCCAGACATGAAAGTCCGTGAGACTCTTATGTCCAATTAAGCACCAGAAAACCAGAAGTGGCACTGAGAGCGCTCGCTTTGAACTGAAGAACTCAGGGACAGCACCCAGGCCCAGAAATCAAGCCCCATGACTGACAAAAGCAAAGGAGGAGGAGGAGGAGGAGGAGGTAGGGACTAGGATCAGACCTGTCTTGCTTCTCCAAGGTCAAGTTCATGACCATCATGTTCCTTTTTTTTTTTTTTTGTCCATCATGGGGCTTGAACTCTGGGCCTGGGCACTGTCCCTCAGCATTTCAGCTCAAAACTAGTGCTCTACCACTTAAGCCACAGCACCACTTCCAGCTTTTTCTGTTTATGTGGTGCCAAGGAATTGAACCCAGAGCCTCTTGCATGCAAGGCAAGCACTCTACCACTGAGCCACCTTCCCACCCCCATGTTTCCTTACCTACCAAACAGGGCCTGTGCTGGTACTCTAGATTTTCCCTTCCCCACACCTACCCCATATAATAATCAGCACATCTTTCTAGACATTTGAGCCCTTGATGTTGGTGATGTGGAGGGCCTCAACCTTGGAGCCAAAGTGTTGAGAGAATTGTGTCATAGGAGCGTGTGTGTGTGTGTGTGTGTGTGTGTGTGTGTGTGTGTGTGTTCGCCATGTGTTTTCAGGGGAAGATAAGAACACCACATGACACTTCAGCTTTTCCCCTCATAGAATAAAAGGCTCTAGAGAAAGCCTAGTTCTCATGATGTCCCCCCACCGCTTGTCATAGATGTAGAGTGCTTTGGCAGCTGAGCTATGTGAGAAGCACTAGCAACCCTGTGTTGGGAAAGGACTTTGGGATTTGTATAAACCTTGGTTCCAGTGACTTCAAAACTTGAGTGGCCTGCTTCTGAGATGCCAGCGCGTTCAAAGAGTCCAATCAAGGAGATGGGAAGATTCTGAGCTCACTGGCCTATTCTCATACCCAGGATCCCAGGGAGCCATAACAGAGCAGTTTCTGGAACATTCTGTAGACCCAAGAAAGGAAGGCCCCCCCATACCCAGCCACTCACGGTACACGCTGACGCTGAGATTCCTGAACTTCTGCTTTCCGGCACAGGTGAAATGGCAGTAGAGCACTGTGTCCTGGGAGACGTCGGAGATCAAGAACCGCTGCCACTGAGGGTGGTGGTCCTCGATGGCCCTCTTTTTCAGGAACGTCTCCAGCCCTCCCTTATCAGGCTGGGGACAGCTGGTGCTGCAGTTGACTTCCGTAGACCCTTTGATCTCAACTGCCAGCTTCTCTGGCCATATGTATACCTCAAATGCCTGTCCACCGGACCCTGGAAGACAGAAATGCCAGGAAGCATCTCACTGCCTACCAGCACAGTTCTCTCCCACCAGCAGTTCGAATCAAGGGCCATGGGCCCGAGAAGAAAGGCCATGGCCTGACCCTCTGCACCTTTCCCTGTGTCAGACCTAGGCCTCAGGGCTACATCCACGAGGCTGCCCCGAAACCTCTCCCTGTCCCTGGCTGTGCCTTCCTCCAGCCCCTCTGCCTATCAGCTCCAAAACCACCTCCCTCAAACTCACCTTCCACCTCTCTCAAGGCCCAGCCAATGCATGCCCTCCTCTTTGAAGAAGGCCCCTCTGAGAATGGAGGTGAGCTCTGGGCTATGGTCCTGGGTTAGTCCTTCTTCCCCTCCTTTCCTTTCTTCCATAAATGCATTTTAAGCATTTTTCAGATTCTGGCACTATGCCAGGCCAGGAAGAGAGACAATGACAAAGATCAAGCAGAACATCTGGCATGTTGGGAGGACATGAACCTCAGGAAAGGGAAATGCTGGAGAAGTGGGTAGGGAGGGGACACCACTTTAAACTGTGGTCAGAGAAGGCCTCACTGAGAGACGGTGCATTTGGACAATGACAAAGGTGTTGGGTGAGGACTTCCAGGTGAAGGATAGAGCCAATGCAAAGAGCCTCCATTGGAAGCATGCTTGGTATGTTGGGAGCAATAGGATCAAGGTGAGTAATGGTAACCAATGAGGAGGAAAGCAGGGGAGATGGGGACAGAAAGGTAATGAACTACTTTCAGAACATCCTGTTGTATGTTCATGCTCCTTTAGACATTTTGGAACTTCTAGAAGGCAAGGCCCAGGTTTCATACCACAAAGTCCCAGACAAAACAGACATTCAGAGGGTGTCTGAGTCCTCAGTGTCCACCTCCACTATCTGAAGACCGGGAAGGTGCTGGGTCCCCAACCAGCTAGGCTCAGCTGGTGTCCTAGGCTCCTCCCCCACCACACCCCCACCTCCCTCAGCATGGCTTGTTCAGCCTTCAGACAGTGGCCTCTAGGAGGGAAGTAGCAAGAGAGCATCATGGTGCACAACCGGAATCCCAGTTACTTGAGAGGTGAAGGTTGGAGAATCAGAAGCATAAGACCAATCTGAAAACAAATTAAGAAGCAAAAAGGGCTGGGGAAAGGGTAGGAAGGTCAAGTGGTAGAATGCTTGTCTACAAAGGTGAGGCTCTGAGTTCAATCCCCAGTCCCTCTCCCCTAACCCCAGCAACAAAAAGCAGGTAGAAGGTTTAATAAGTAGACAGATCTGGATTTGAATCCAGAGTTCCCGGGTGTATGGTGAGTTCACCAAGGCTGCAAAGCCTGGGGCTATGTGCTTCTCTATGTGAGCCTCAGTTTCCTTACCCATCAAGGAGTCTAGTCTCCCTTTTGATTGAGAAGCCATGAACAGTCAGTAAAAAAAGTCCTGAAAGCATGTGTCAGACTGCCCAAAGCTTATGATGGCCTTTTCTCCCCTTTTATCCACTAAAAGGGATTTCATTTTCGTTTTGACCAGGCAATATCCTCTGCTACCCCCTAGGCCCTTTCTAAATGGCACACCCTCTCATCTTCCCTTAGGCCCTTGTGTCCCTTTACCTTTTGAGTTTCCTCCTACCCCTTACCATTCATTCTGACACACCACTATTCTCTGAAGCTCTGGGGCATGTCCTGCCTGGTGTCCAGCGGACAGGACCACACCTAGAGGGCCACATGCGGGGATCTGGGCATCTGGCTTACCTAGGCAGCAGAGCAGGATGAGAAGGGCTGTGAGCAGGCTCCAGAAGCCAAAAACAGACATCTCGGGTGGGCTCCACAGGGTCCTGGGGAACAGCCAGGGGCTCCTGGAGGGGGATGATCAGCAGCACAAGTTAGGGAGCAGTGGCTGGAATCACAGCCTGAAATCCCTCCTGTGAGCTGATGACAGCATTTCCTCTCATTATGTGAGGTCGGGAAGCCACGTGCACAGGCCTTCATGCCCCCAAGAATCCAGGCGGAGGAAACTGGGCAGCAGCTGATAAGAAGGAGCACAGCCCAGGCAGGGGCCAGACTAGCCATGGGCGCACATGTGTGGGCAAGCTCACTCATGAATGAGTGTAACGAAGCATGTGTATGCGTGACCCTGTGTGCTATGTGTACACAGGACACAATGACACTTCCAAGGTATAGATATGGGGAACCCCAAGCCCCACAGGACACATGTTGGGGATCCCACTGGGAAGATAATAGTCAGGCCAGGGAGTCACCATAGTGTCACAAGATCCAGGCTTGTCTAAGGGATCCTGGGCAGAAACTCGACTCTTCTGGTATAGCCTAGCATACATCTTCATATAACATAATGTCCTGCTTGGTTTCCAGCCAAAACTTGGCCCTGCCTTACAGCTAAGGCAGTGAGCCTCTAAGGCCCGGGGCCATAGGTAGTGATATCCACTGAAATGCCCATGCCCCAGGCCCAGGAAAGCAGAGGCCAGTCTGGCTTTAACCTATCCCTAGACCCAGGCCCACTGCGAGGGACTAGGCATCAGTGTTCTCACTCTTGCCCTCTGATCTGGAAGGCTGAAAGCCTGAGGGGCTGCATCTGTTTCTAAGAAGAATTCCTAGCCAGTTCAAGAATCTATAGAAGCATCTCACCGGCAAGAGGATGGACTTTGATGGGCAGGAAAGCCTTCACCACATGTCTTGTCTTGACTCTTCCTAGTCTGCCCCAGATCCCGAGTCTGGGTGGCACAGGAGCTGACCCCTTGTGCTTCCTCAAGGAGACCTCAGCAGGAGCTTTTCCAAAGGGAGGCTCCAGTTTTGGCGGTTGAGAGCCAGCTCTGTTCCTGGGTTGAGAGGATGCAGGGAGGTCTTGCCCTTCCCTCTCTGCTTAAGGCTGTGCACAAATGTCCAGTGCTGTCACTGTCAGCCTGGATCCAGGGAAGTCCCTGGAGAGGACTGCTGGCTTTGAAATGATTCAGAGAGGAAGGGGTAAGGCTGGGGTTCAGCAGACAGGAGGCCAAAGTAGAGGGGTTTATGGAGACTGATCTCACCTGGGGCTGGCAAAGGGCCACAGGAAGGCAGCTAAGGGGGTGGCCCTAGGACTAGAAAGCTGAGGAGAGGGATAGGAACTGTGGCTTGGAGACTTGGTGGCAAAGGGAAGTGACAATAGTAAAACAGCAATGTGTGTTATACTCTGCTAATGTGGGGAGACATTCTAAGGACCTTTGTCATTAGGTGATTCATGGTTATATACCCACACAGGATGAGTGTTGAATTCACTTAGGGTGTGCAGTACAGCTTTATGACCTCTTCTTTTTCTTCTTCTTCTTCTTTTTTTGGGGGGGACTTGAACTCAGGGCTTACATGCTATTCCTAAGGTTTTTTTGCTCAAGGCTAGTGCTCTTCCACTTTGAGCCACAACTCCACTTCCAGTTTTCTGGTGGTTAACTGGAATTAGAGTTTCATGAACTTTCCTGCCCCAGCTGGCTTCGAACCATGATCCTCCAGATCTCAGCCTCCTGAGTAGCTTAGATTACAGTATGAGCCACAGACACCTGGCTGTGCTCTACTTCTATATAACTGGCAGCACTGTGGGTTTGTCTACACCAACACCACAACAAATGTGAGGAATGCACTGGGTGACATAGAACTTTCTAGGTCCACTGTCATCTTAGAGGACGACTATAGTATACTATTATAGTATAGTATACTACTTTAGTATATATATATATGTATATATATATATAATAGCATATATTGACAGATATGGACCTGTGTACACCTGGCTATGCTTAGTACAGGCTGGCCATCCTTATCAGCACTACAAATAGTAACAGCACTCTGACTCTGTATTGTTGCTATTCTTACCTTACAGATGGGGAAATCAAGGCATACAAAGGTTAAGTAACATGCCCAAGGTCACATCTCTAGGGAAGAATGAAGTCACTCTGAGTAATTGGCTCAAAACCCATCAGAATAGGGGTGAGGATGATTTATTAGGAGCTTGAGCGCCTAGAGAGCCTCAGGAAGAAAAGACAGGATAGCAGAGGCTAAAGGAAAATTCTGGACAAGTCTCTAGTATGACCTATTTATAAATAACAACAAAGAAGGTACAAGCCTGGTGCTGGTAGCTCATGCCTATAATCTAGCTACTCAGGAAGCTGAAATTGGAAGTTCAAAATTTGAAGCCAGCCTGGACAAACAATTCCATGAGACTCTATTCTCTAATTAATCAGTGAAAAGCTGGAAGTGGAGGCATGGTTCAAATGACAGAGCTCCAGCCTTGGGCAAAAATGCCAAGCAAAAGTGTGAGGTCCTGAGTTCAAGCCTCAGTATTGGCACAAACAAAAAGAAGAGAAAATAAACCAATGGAAACAAAAATAGAATCAAACTACAATATTAAAAGGAAAATCAGGGCTGGGAAGTTGGCTCAGTGGTAGAGCGCTTGCCTTGCATGCATGAGGCCCTGGGTTTGATTCCTCAGCACCACATAAGCAAAACGAAAAAAGCCGGAAGTGGTGCTGTGGCTCAAGTGGTAGAGCGCTAGCCTTGAGCTGAAGAGCTGAGGGACAGTGCCCAGGCCCAGAGTTCAGGCCCCACGACCAGACCCAGAAATAAATAAATAAATAAAAGGAAAATCAGGGCTGGGAATATGGCTTAGTGGTAGAGTGCTTGCCTCACATACATGAAGCCCTGGGTTCAATTCCTCACTACCATATAAACACAAAAGCCAGAAGTGGCACTGTGGCTAAAGTGGTAGAGTGCTAGCCCTGAGCAAAAGAAGCTCAGGGATAGTGCATAGGCCCTGAGTTCAAGCCCCAGGATTGGCAAAAAGAAAAAGGAAAAAAGAAAAGAAAATCAGCCAGGCACTGGTGGCTCATATCTGTAATCCTAGCTACTCAGAAGGCTGAGATCTGAGGATCATGGTTCAAGGCAGCCCAGGTAGGAAAATCCATGAAACTCTTTGTCTCAAAGCACAAAAAAAAAAACCAAAAGTGGAGCTGTGGCTCAAATGGTAGAGCACTATGTTTGAGTAAAAGTAGCTCAGGGACAGTGCCCAGGCCCTAAGTTCAAGCCCCAGGACACACACACACACACGCACGCACGCACGCACGCACGCACGCACGAAAACAAGAAAAAAGAAAAAGAAAGAAAGAATAGGAACAGAAAGTAGTGTGATGATGGCTGTCAAGGGAAATGGGAAATCCAGATGGGTGGCTAAAGAAGGAAATGGGAGTTGTTATTTAATATGTACATTCAATTTTGTGAGATTGGTTCTGGAGATTGGTTACAAAACAATGTGAACATGTTTTATTTAAAAAGTAATAAATAGAATTTTTACATATGTTACTATAATTAAAAATAAAAACAAAGAAATACCATAAATATTGTATGCCATGAAATATGGAACAGAGTAGAACAAAGTTCAGAAAGCCTAACTTATCAGACTTAAGAAATAAAAATGCCTGAATGGTTCTTAGACATTGAGTTGGTAATCTAAAATCCTCCCACAAAGAATATGCCAGATTAAGGTAACTGTACAAAAGTTTCAGTAGCAATCAATCTAATTTTAATAAAGCTCTTTCTCCTAATGGAAAAAAAAAACACCAGGAAAGGTATCTCCTAATAAGACAAGTACAGGATAAACGAGGGCACTAAAGCCAATCTCATGAAATACAAAAATTATAAGTAAAATACTAGCAAATCAAATCTGTCAGTATATAAAAATATGAAACAGGGGCTGGGAAGGTGGCTCAGCAGTAGAGCGCTTGCCTTGCATGCATGAGGCCCTCGGTTCAATTCCCCAGCACCACATAAGCAAAAAGAAAAAAAGCCAGAAGTGGCACTGTGGCTCAAGTGGTAGAGCACTAGCCTTGAGCTGAAGGGCTGAGAGACAACTCCCAGGCCCAGAGTTCAGGCCCCACGACTGGACCTAATATATATATATATATATATGAAACATAAATAACTTGGACATGGCTGGATACTGGTGACTCATGCCTACTCAGGAGGTGAAGATCTGAGGATTATGGTTTGAAGCCAGTCTAGGCAGGATGGTCCATGAGACTTTTACCTCCAATTTAACACCAAAAAGCCAAAAGTAAAGCTGTGGTTCAAGTGGTAGAGAGCTAGCCTTGAGCACAAAAGCTCACAGGCCCTGAGTTTGAGCCCAGGACCAGCACCAAACAAACAAACAAAAAAAACCTACAAACAAACAAACCAAATTGGACATGGTTGGAAATACCTAGATACTGACATTCAGGAGGCAGAGGGAGGAGGATGGCAAACTTGAAGTCAGACTGTGTTACATATTTGGATCTTGCCTCAACAAACACATGAACTATATAATCATCACATCTAAGTTGTGATCCCAACAGTGAAAGTAAAGTCTATGAGTGGAAATACAGACATGGGGTTCTAAATCACAGTGCCCTTCTCTCATAACAGCTGAACAAATAGAGGATGGCTTTGCTGTGTATAAGCTTAGATTCTAATCCCAGAATTCTCTGAACTCTTGACTCAGGGTCATCTGTGATGCTTTAGGAGCTAATTATCGGCCTGTGTCTCCCAGATGTGTGGAAGAGGTAAGATGAAAAGAGAGGACCGAAGCCAAGCACCTGTGGCTCACACCTGTAATCCTAGCTACTCAGGAGGCTGAGATCTGAGGATCACGGTTCAAAGACAGCCCGGGCAGGAAAATACTCCATGAAACTCTTATTTCCAATTAACCACCAGAAAACTGGAAGTGGTGCTGTGGCTCAAGTGGTAGAGCATTTGCCTTGAGCTGAAGAGCTCAGGGACAGCACCCAGGCCCAGAGTTCAAACCCTAAAACAACAACAACAAAAACAACAACAACAAAATAAAAACAAAAACAAAAAACAGAGGACCAGATCTAGTGGACCTGTTCCAGCTGCCTTCTCCCCAGCAGC